CCGCAGGATCAAAACTGGGCGAATACCCACTGCTGGCAGGTGAATGAACAGGGTCTTCACCTACTAGATCATCCGGATCTTCAAGAGCCGGAAGCATGTCATGATCAAGAGGCGTAGGCTCAAGTGACACGTAGGGGTCGATTACGTCAACGTCAGGAAAACAAGTCTCAACTGACGCTTCCGGCAGGTGATGGGCGTCTTCAATGCTTTTACAAGCTTCGTCGACGTCAGCACACTCAACAGGCTTAATGACGGGAGGACCAACCTTGGGAGGTCGCTCATGTGCGAAAGCATCTTCAAAGCGTTGCACACATTCTGTCGAATGATTGTATGTTGCAGCTTCACAACCTCGGCAGTCGGGAGTAGGGCCTAATTCAAGCAACCTACGCTGAGTAATGTAAATTCTCTTACCCTTGACACTGACCTGATCACCATCGGCGAACGGCAAAGGCAAAGGTTCCACTGCCTCAGGCATAGTGGGAGACTGGAAGTCATGAAGTGCACGATCTGCCGCCCTCTTTAGAGGGTAAATTGGGTCACCAGAAGGAACAACAAGCTCAACTTCCGGAACGTTGATGGGCGTGGCCCAGGCACCGGTTCTTGATCGGAGGCTTTCGTAGTTTAAGACAAGAGCAACCTCTCGGTACCTAAGGCCAAGTTCAATTCGCCACCCGGCAAATAAGCCTGGTGCTGCATTCGGGTCAAACTTCCCACCTGTCTTATTGCGATAGAACACCAATCGCCCAAGGGCATGCAACGGGCCACCAAACTCGGAACCCTTTGCAAGCGACCAAGACCCCCGGGACACCGACAAGGCAGTGGCAGCATACCGGCAGGACACCGGCCACAACTCAGGGCGAACTGAGAAACCAGCTGCTAGGTGCACACAACGGACAGTTTCCTTAAAGCTTCGCATGTCGCGCTCCAGCGGGCTGGGAGACTCGTATCTGGCACCCATCCCAAGTCATGAACTGCTTTGATGATCTCTGGGGCCTGATCGGATTTGACGATAAGTTCCGGGTTCTTAGCTAGCGCTACCCCAACGAACTTCTTGAGTGATTGGTAGACATGGTCTGAGTTCTTCGTGGTGGAAGGGTAAGCCTGAAGGACTTTCGAGAACATATCCCGCACAAGTAGCACAACAAATTCCTTATTGGAGCTCGCTGTTTTGTGAACTATCAAGTGGTCCAAGGCCAATTGTTGCCCAAATGCAGCAGGCTCGGGCAGGTCAATAGGTTCAATCCTCTTTGACCTCACCCTTTTCGCGTAAAGCTTCGCCTGGTTGCAAATGTCACAGAACGGATTCTTCGGGAAGTGACTCAATTGATGTTGTTGACTTGAAGCCTCAATGCGAACACGCTCAATGTGCGAGGGGGCTTCCTTGGGTGCTTCGGCCACTGACGGCGGGGGCGCTGGAGCAACACTTGCTGATGCCGGAGCATCTACAGGGTCAGGCACACTTGCTGGAGGTTCCACACGCATGCTGTCTGCTGCGGATTCGGAGGCAACATGTGCAGCCATTCCTTGAGCGAATTGGACCGTTGACCTGAAGATCGGCACATTTTCCTCAACCCTGTGCGCATAAAGTGTGTTTTCTTCACTGCACACAACCTTGATTTCTGAGGCATTCTTGGCAAAGTAGGGCAGCTGACCGGGCAACCAAACAAATGCTTTGCCGTCACTTTCAACATCAAGACCAACAGATCTCACGATTGGGCAATCCTCAAGCATGTAACAATTGGCAACACCCCAACCATTCATGTGCAAATTGAGAGTATCGTTCCCATACTTGGTGCCCCCCCCTGTTGCGAAGGCAATGGGGTCTGACGAGGCACCAATGCATGAGTTGTACATGGATGACGGAATGCCTTGCGAACCCAAGGCTTTACTGGAGGCCAAATGCCTCCCAGCGCACGTATCGGCTCCCCACTCAACGGTGACAGCATTGGCGGCCTGAGACACTCCCGCCATGGCGGATGCAATCATGGCCACAGCGAATGCTGGCATCGCTTTGGGCTTTGGCTTTGCTGCTGCAGGCTTAGCACTAGGCTTGGTGCCAGTCTTGACATGAGCATATTCACACTTCTCCCCATGATGACATCCACTGTCCATCTGAAAGAAAATGCAAGGCTTTTGAGCCTTTTGCTCTTTAGTCAAGGGCGTGCCTTTCTTTCCTTTGCCCTTTCCCTTCTTCTTTGACGGGCTGTCATCCCCGCCCTTCCCACCTGGAGGCGCATAAGCAGCCAAGCCAGAGGGCAAGGACGGAGGCGATCCTGCGCCTTTTGGAGTGGGCGGTGACGGTGATGGGGTCTTTGGAGCCGGAACCCCAGAGGCTTTTACACCAGGGGACATCTTACGAAAGTGATCTTGAACATCCTTAGCATTTAGATCTTCACGTTCATAACTAAGGGTGTCCTGGAGTTTACTCCACAGGAAGTCAAAACCACGCATCGTGCTGTCCTTTGGGGAATCCTTGATATTCTCAATGTGGCGTTCGAGCTTCCTGAAGTTCCTGACCTTGCTGAACAACCATTCCCCAAGAAGGCGATCTGATGGGAGCTCATCACTGGGAACAGCTGACATTGTCTGTGTGACTTTGCTGGCAAAGTCTTGCGCCTGAGCAACCCCAAGACCCGCAGGTTCCAAGGAAAGCAAGGCAGATGCAGTCAACATTGAACCTCGCGCTCTATCCAAGTCAAAATGCTTAGCAATTGTAGCAAGGATGAATCTACCACGGGGTGCCTTCCCATCACGTGTGCATCTCTCGATGTAGCCATTCACTTTGACAGCAATGCTAGGCACTACTCTCAAGGACCTTGTGGAAGTCAATTCGGAAGCAAGCCACCTATCAAAGCGAGGGAACCCATCACTTGTTTCATCAAGGTGGCTTAGATCTCCGGAGAAAGACACGTTGATCCATTTTGTGATGGCATCGGTACCACTGGTGTCACACTTGGCACAGGACAGGATAAGTGCATTCTTCCATGACCGGAAGGCCGCAGCGTTATCTGGGATCGGCTCAATCTTCAAATGCTGAAGAGCCTTTGAATCAATGACATCCCGCTCCACAATTGAAGGAATTGAACTTCCAAGCGCATGCGTGGGAGGATCTACCGATCTCTTTTGGATATTACTAATTTGGGTTGGAACCGCGCTATTTTGGCCACTGTTTTCAATTGCATTGATTCGGTCTGACAGCTTTGAGATGGCTTCCAGAATTTGGCCAACATGAGAACCGTCCGCAAAAGGTTCGTGGGCATCCCCGACCGTTTCAACAGGCGTTTGGGCATCTACCGGAGGAGTTGCGATCGAGAACACTTCAGCCGAGTTGCCCCCCTGAGCATCCGCGGCGCGTGTAGCAGCCAAACGGAGCCGGGAGATCTCGGCCTCACGGGCTTGGATGTGTCTCGATGCTTCTCTCTGCATTTGTTCCAGCCGTTGCCCTAGCTGTTGATTGTCGCGTTGCAGACCTTCAACCACGGAAGAAAGTTGCAACACTTGGTCCCTCAAACCTCCTATGGTGGATAGGGCCTCAACATAGATCTGATGAGCCCTTAGTTCTGCATCATCGGCTCTTTGCGATTGCTGGTTAGCACTTTCGACAGCTTGGCGTGCATGTTGAAGCATGTCAGCTACCGCTAGTGGGTCTACACCAACGTTCACTTGCGCATTCACAGTCTGGAAGAGATTCTGCTGAGATTCATCCCTAGTCAAATGCAGCTGTTGCACGTGGGTTGAAGGTTGACTAGCAGCGTCACGATCAGGAGTTGCAACAGAGGGATCCACGACATCCGTGTGACCAGAACCAATTTCAACAATCCCAGCTTCCCGATTTCCGTACGGGCTCCCTGATGAGATTGAACGGCTCCTACTGGATGACCTAATCGCCCCTGGCATGGCTGGCACTGACCTTGAGCTACTTGACAACTCCATGCTGGTCTCTTCACTCATTATGGAATACCTGATTTAGCTTACTCACTTAGGGAGGCTAACACAGAGTGGCAGATGGAAATGATGATGATCGTGCACCTAGATGACAGAGGCGGCAGCACACTTTTGCAATGCAAATTCACCGTAGATCACTGGAAGTAAGCAAGGCAATGTTCAGCCGCTTCTGCAAGATTGGTCACGTACCTGACACTCGGTGCAGTCGGTTTCCTGGGCAGCCTGATCCCAATTGCGGCACCGCGCTCAAGCTCAGAGAACTCTTGAAGGGCGTCACTCCCGTCGTCTATCAAGATCAGCAATTCCGCCCTTGGAGCAAATGCCCGAGCGACCTCCAACTTTCCACCAGATCCAGATCTCTCCGGAGTGTAGATCAAAAAATTGAAAGGCGTCCTTCGCTCCAAATGCTCGGCAGCGGCGCGTGCTGGTCCGTAGTTGCTGTTCCCCTGAATTGTACCAGAGCGGCGATCCTTTGGAATATATGAGAGCTGAGCCAAGAAACAATTCTCCGGCAGCCCTGCGGCAATGGTGTTCAGAGCACCAAGAGTCTGATCACAAAAGGATCCGTCCGGCCTGTTGTAATATCGCTCCCGTGCTGACACTCTGAAACAATCGCTCACTTGATGATAATCCACAAAAACAATCGCCCGTGCGTCCTTTGCAATTGTAGCTGCTCGAGACGGAGGAAGAGGACCAGGACCCCTGCAGAAGTGAATCAGAGCCTTGCTCAAAATCCGTTCACGCTCAGCCTCCGAGATTGACGGAGGACGCGCAACTGCTAAAGTCTGTCCAATATTCCCCGTAGGCGCTGTTGTATGTGGCCTGAGACCGCTGATGGCTTGAGATGCCTTGGGCCTTGATCCCACCTCAGAAGTGGATGGCGAACTCCTAGAGCCCTGAAACCAAATCTGAGATGTCCTGAATGAGGAGCTCGATGGTTCAGCCCCCCTCGCTGCAGCCTCCCGTTCCAAAAGCTTCCTGCTCTTCGAAGGTCGCGAAATGCGAGATGGAGGCGCAACCACCGGCGCTTCACCCTCAGACTCTGATGATACCCAAAGCTCCGGTGTGCCAACAGGCTCTGAAGGAGGAGGATCTTCAGGCGGAGGCAAAGGCAACCGCCACGGAAAGGTGTCTGCTGATTGAACCGAAAAGTGAGCTCCCGAGCTTGCAGAATTGTCAAACGTCGGCAGGCCCCGCCGAGACGATGACGAAACAAGAAGCTCACCTCCTGTTCCCAAGTCAACAGCAAACTCCTCCGAATCCGCCAAACCTCCTGCAGCTGGGGATGCCTCCTCCTCGATCACAATCTCTTCAAACTCCTCTTGTTCCTCACCCCAGGAAGAGCTCGTGCCCAGCGGCCTGTTCGACCCGTCCGCGTGGACCACCAGAACCTCTTCCCTCGGAGTTCCTTGCGCAACCTGATGAGAGACAAAAGCGTCGCGACGTCTCCTCGCCCCTTTCCCCGACCTGATGCCTCGGGTGCGGGCGGGTCTCTCCTCGTCAGCCGTTGTAACTGCTAATAAGGTGCGCGATCAGGTAGTCCGAGCCTTACGGCTGATAACCAGTTGCAATGCCCAAAACACAAGCGATTCAAGTGAATCGAGCAAATGGCGCCAGCGAGTGCAATCACGCTTTTCACTCAGCCTTAAGCCAAATGTATTGGCAATGGAATTCTCATGCACTACACCCCAAAAAGAAAGTTAAAAGGAACATAACCCCTGAAAAGTGGGTTTGTTCAACTCACACAAAGACACAAACACACAAAGACACACAAAGACACACAAAGACCATCACACACACGCACATGCAAACACAACAGGCTTTCTTTACCAGGCTTCTGCACGATAAGGCTTGGCATCAGCTGCTCTGGCTGCATCTCCAGGCCACCTAGGTTTTCCGACAAAATGTGAGAGAGTGAGTTGTTTGGCAAGTGAATCTGGGCATGGGTCAAAATTAAACCAGCAGGGGACCACAGGTTTTAGTCATTGTTTCCATTTACCAGGGTGCCATTTCGGGCTACCCATTTTTGACACACAGCCATCTGAAAAGGTGATATTCTGTGGTCTTAGAAAGCTCACAACGGAATAAATCGCAAGCAGTTGCGAGGAAATTGTACTTCAGCTGCCCGCTTGGCCCTGCTTCTGGAGGATTGGAGAGCCTCTATCTATGTCCTACCTTCTTTGACACGCTTGCACTGTTTCAACCAAGCCCCATTTAAGTTTGAAATGGAGCCACTGCTGACCGAAGTGTGATAGGACCTCAAACTAAGTTTGAGCCCCGGACAACATTCACATGAAATGATGAATGGACAAAGTGTGCAAGCTCAAGCCCAGTGCCTCTCAGGTCAAGTTGCACAGGGGGCAACGCAGCCGCCTTTCCAAGGCCTTCTCAATGCAGTCCCTGCAGAAGATGTGCTGACAAGGTGTGCCACCGCAGAAGACCGGGTCCCAATAGACATCCGTGCAAATGCCTAAGCAGCTCAATGTGACTTGTCTCCGAGTTTTTTTTTTATGGGACACTGGCATGTCCGTTTGGCAAATCCTAAACAGCAGTCACCCACGGAGTACGACCAGAACGCCCACCAACCACAACCAGTAACACGCAAAAGCGGCAGGGGTGCCCTCACAAAAGACACGCAATCGAAGCAAAGATTCACAGCGAGCAAAGCAAGCGGCCAAGCACAGCTCACAGAAAACACGCCCGCACAAATTGCAAATTACAAAAACACAACCGCAGCAACAGGAGGAAAGCAGGACAAAAATGCAATTCACTTATCAGGACAAATCTGGGAAGCATTGGGGCATCCTCCAAGTAACCGTTGGCAAGGACCCGCCCCCCCCCCATAATCTGATTACTTACATCCAGGGTCGACATTGTTCAGGGGCCCCCAACCTCTTCTAGTAATCCCAGCTTGTCGCAATTCGCCAATCACGTGCGTGTAGCATCCCATTTCGGAACCCATTCAACAACTCTTCTGGTCCCAGCGGTGTTGCACGTCGTTCCCTTGATTGAAGGCTCCCTCTTGGATCCGCGGGAGTGGTTTGGAACGTGGCCCAGGTCCACCTGTCCACCGGGCCGCTGCATCGCAATGACCCAGAGATGCTCGTAGGGTCCGCCAGCTCTGCATCAGGCAGACCCATTGCCGCGCCCGGCCGCCCCCCCGGCTGGGGCCACAAGGTCGCGAGCGCGCGCATGGGAAAGCTACGTATCATGGAAAACTAGTTTGGGAAGCCGAACTTAACCACACATTTGCTTGTTGTCAATCAAACGCATTTACTTGCTATTAAATCAACATCGCGTTAAAGGGCGACCAAGTTCGGGTGAGTTCGCCTCAAGCTGTTTATCGGATTGCGAGGATGACGCAGTTCCGGACAGCCATTCTCACAATCAAACCAACATTCATGATTACCAACAACCCGGCAACAAACGCCTAAGCAACAGCCAAACAAGTAAACACACACCCGCGCACACACACACACACATACCTATGCGCCAAAATAATACAGCAATTCGAAATAGCTCATCTCCAGGGCTAACACATCCTACGAGTAGGAATTGTCTTGATACGTCTTTCTTGGTTGTTCCCACGCCCTTGCACACTCAAAGGTCCTAGCCGCCCAGCCAGTCTTAGTGCAGAGATCTCCACTTAGGTATTCTGCTTCTGTTTGCCATGCAAATGGATCTTGCACACTGATTCAATTCCCACTGAGCATATTGGCCATGTTGCAATTGAACATTGAAAGGCTGCACAAATGCGCGCCTGCCTTGAATCTCCTTGACTCTGACCCGTGCTCTGCTTTTGCTGTCTTCCAAGACCCTTCTGCGGATGAAGGCACGAGCCCCATCAAGGGTTGGTTCCGTGCTAGCTTCTTTGCAACAACACACACCCAAAGGGGAATACATCTTAGAGTATGAGGAACATGTCCAAGTTGATCTTTGAACATGACCGTGAGCGCTCTGCATTCACGATAAAGTCACGACAGTTGAAGGGACGAAACTTCATCATGGCTGGTTGCTGCTCCCCCAGCGTGTTGTTCTCGTTCAAGCCGATCTCAACAACCACTTTGCCGATTGGCGTCAACAGGACGTGCACAAGAATCCCAGGCCAAGACCCAGCCGGGAAGCTTTCAGTGTTAATCCTCCATCTGGAATGCAGGACTGAAGTTTCGCTGTTTGGCGGCCAAAACTCATACTTGGTTGCTGTTGACACCCCTGCAAAAAACATAAAACTGTCAGTTGGGGGGGGCGCGGCTGCTTGCGGCGCATTCTTTTTCCGCGCCGGCATGTCAGCGCGAAAGCTGTACAGCTGCTTCACAGCCTGGGTGACAGCCCAATACCAGGCTGGGCTGTCCGTTTTCAGATCCCCTGCTAAAAGATTAACCGTTTAGTGGGTTAAATGGAAAAACAAACAAAAACAAAAAATCCAGCTTTTGTTTGAACTTTTAGTGGGGTTAAACGGAAACCCCCACTAAAAAAAATAGTGGGGGTTTCCATTTAACCCCACTAAAAGTTCAAACAAAAGCTGGACTAAAATCTATTTAGAAGTCTAAAAAGCTCAGGAGGCGGCTGGGAACCAAGCAGGGGGGTTTCCCAAAGTCATGTTGCTTGATCTTGGAGAAACTTTCCACAAAGCAAGCCCGATCGCATATCGCCAAGCTCCGGCCTGCTTAATCCATCTAGCTTCCCTTTGGAACATACGGATAGCGCCATGCTCCCATCCTGGGCTTCGGCCAAAAAAACCTTAATACATCGCAGCCAAAACGGACGATATCCTTCAAAGCCTTCATGCCTCCCTAAAACCTAGACCCCTAAAACATGGGCACGCCTCAACACCCAAGACCCTGAGCTCCCAAGACCCCGCTACTGATCCCGTATACCCAATCCAAACGCCGAAACTCGAAAAAAAGATCAACCCGACATCAGACCCTGAAACTCCTGCCCGACCAAAGGCGAGCAGAAACAACAACTTTGGTGGAGAACACGTATGCTTTGTGGATCGTATTGCGCCCAAAGCTTCGTGATCCTTTACGATGACAGCGACTCGAGCAATCCTTTCTAGGACCTGATCCCCAGTAGCACTATGTTGGCAAGAAAAGCCAGCCAGTGGCCCTGCGCGGTCGGAGTCTTCATTGTCCAGAACGAACAATAGGACCAAGCAGCAAGCAGGATTGAATTTGGCGCACGCAGTGCAGCAGGATGCCATTAGCAACTTCAAGTTTGGACCTTGTGGTCCCAACGCGTGCGCTTTCATACTTTAATTATGCTAGAGAAACGTCTGCTCGAGCAGCTTTAACTGCAATAGTTGCAGGTTGTTTCTGGAAGGGAACGGCCATACCAAAGAAGAAAAACAAACTCCGTAGAACATTTCTTGGACAAGTCATGCTACACACACACACAAACAGTGCAATCACACTCCCACCACAAACCGATTGTGGCAAAGATCTGCGCCCGCACACGTTTCACGAAAAATATATATATATATATACCTGTAGAATCCTAAGGGCTGAAATTCCTGCCTTTTTTGTGAAAAGGCGCCTTTTCTGGATTGCGACTGAAATTCATCCTTCGGGCTGTTTTTTTCAAAAGCGACCCGGCTCTTCTGAAGCAATTTGGCTCGACCCTGCTCATCCTGGACCAGCTCTTTGACCAGGTGTGACCTGCCTTGCATCCCCTTGCATTGCTCTGCGCGGCCTAGCACCTGCTGTTTGGTCATTAGGCAACACCCTGGAAGCCTGCTTGGCCCAAGTCGTTCCCTTGGTACCTAGAGATGGCGTCGACGCCTCCCAGTTCAACATGGTCTCAGGAAGTGCGGGAACTTCTGATGAAAGAAGGCCGGGCTTCTACACTTTACCCCACCCCAAAGCTCAGGAGACCCGCCCAAAGCCACCATCCTAGAGCGCAAGAGCATGCAGTCTGAGTCTAAGCCTCAAAACTGGCTTGTCCTTTTGTTCTTTGTGGGAACCCGGCAGGTCTCGATGAAATGCCTTTGCCGTGGTTCCATGAAGTGCAGCTGGCTCTGTGGCCAGAGAAGGAGCCGTCAGTGCCTTTTCCGCATCGCGACAAATCAGGGTGAAACGGCATGTCATGCATGCAAGCTGCGCCCCCTAACCGTTCAGGTTTCTCTCAGCCTCGAGCAGGTCGCGGCAATCGTTGACAATTTTCAGTCACATGGGGCTGTCTTTTTGATGTGGAAGTTCTATCACAACTGGACAACCAACAGTTGCTTGGTTGAACATTCTCAAGATGGGCGCTTGAACTTGAGTTGCTTTGCTGGCAAAACACCAAGGTGATGACCAGAAGCCGGAGCAATCCATCCTGAACCAGACTGATCCTAGCAAATGCTCTTCAAAGTGAGCGAAGTCCAACCTCATAATCAGAGCAGCAGTGGTAGAAGAAAAAGGGTGTTGCCCGCTCCTTCTACCAAGTGCATTTTTTGTGACGGCTGCTGCCCTTTCAAAAAGTGGAGCACCCTCTTTGGCAGGTGCTTGACGTGGTCTATTGCCTGGCCCGGCGCGCCCGCCAAGCAAAGTCTTTGCGTAGTTGCCTCTTCGTGGCTAATTCACTTGGCGCAGGTCAGGTACCTGTAAGGAGACTACAGACCTACACCTTCAGAGCTGTTACAAGGCCTAGTTAGTGCCAACGCTTTGCCCCAGTACCTGCCTTGCGCAGGTTGTGTCAACTTGGGACTGCAGTAGACCTGACCGTCCCATGAAAGGCAAGCCTGTCCAGTTTTCTTGACATCATTTTTCAACATTGCCCGCACCATTGCTGCCAGGCCCGGAGTATGCCACCATGCTGGGGTGAGCTTGGAGGCCGGGTTCCACCTAGCTCTCCTAGCTCTTCCATTCAGAACCCTTGAAGCAATGAACACACATGCTTTGGAGGCTCTGGGGTCCTGAGCGCCTACCTGGCCTGCGTGGCTGGCTCGGCCTTTGCTTTGCAAGGGTTCTTTCTGTCACGCACGGCCTCTTGAGTTTCTACACGCTCTGTCAACGCATGCCGGTTCTTCGCAGTGATTTTCAAGTTCAAACTGATCAGTCGTGTCATCATGGCCAGTGACTCTGGCAAAGATGGCCCAGCCACGGAATCCAAGAACCCCCTTGAGGGCTTGGCCGATGCATGGGAGTCCTGCGGCAAGGTCCGGAGGCGCGCGTTGGACACCCAGGCGTTGTTGACCTGGACATCGGCCAAGACTGTGGGCATTTGCAACATGAAGTCCCTGAAGCTGAACGTCCCGGTAATGATACAGGCATTGAAGACTTGGTGCCCCAAAGCCAGAAACAAGAAAACACTTCCAGTGGACTTCGTGAAGCTTGAGGCTAGGGGTTCCAAATGTGTCAATTCTTCACAAGTCAACGAGATGAACAAGATTTTGAATTCACTCCCTTCAGGTCAAGAACTTCAGGAGCAAGATGCAATTGCAAGATAATCTTGCCTTGGTCCACTGCGAGGGCCACGCAATCAAGGCTTTTGTTACATTAATGATCCGCCGCCATGATGGTAGCAAGCGTCGTGAAGCTTTTCAGCACTGATGTGTGGCATGTTGGTACACCACCCCTTGGAAGTTTCGTTTTGAGTGCGAATCTTGTCGCTCAGGACCCCAACGTCCAGAGCCTCTTTGATTACATGGGCCAGTTCTGGCCACCGCGACAACCATCCCAATCCAATCTGGAGGATGATTCGGTAGGGGATGATGCTGAAGGCCAAGCGGAGCATGATTGCGATGAGCAACAAGCTCTGGAGGATGACATGGAGTCCGACCAATTTGAGGAGTCGGATGAGGCACTCGCTGTGCGCATGGGTGGCATGCTAAGATCCCAGCAAACACCAAGCCCTTCGCCGGCAAAGCCAGCGCCGACATCGCAACCTGAACGCGCCGACCATGATGGGACACCGTTGGAAATCCACGAGATTGATGAACAAATAGCTTTGCTTCAGCGCTTGGCCTCAATAAAAAAAAAAAGGCTTTTGCGGGCTCTCTTTACTAAACAGTCGCCTTTCCCAAGCCCAGGAAAAAGCTGGATGCTCGCAAAGTGGCTTTGGCGGCGGGCAAGCCTGAGAAACAGCCAGAGCCGTTGACCATGAGTTACTCCAAAAGCTCCTTGAAACAAGTTAAGTGCAGAACCCAAAGTCCGAGGGCATGATCCTAAGCCCTTCTGTTTTTATTTCCCAGGCAACGTCAACCCCAATGAGCTTGACACGCTTGTCTACACCGAGATGGAGGCTGAGGATGCAGCCCATGCTTTGGGCACACAGGCAGATCGCCTGAAGACTGTGAACCCTCCTACCAATGAACCAGAACAGTTCAACAAGTCTCGAACTTTGATCTTGGGTGAAGATGATGAAGCCCAGCCCACCAACCCTCCCGAGCCCTTACCGGATGGTCCGGAATCCGTGTCCGTTCCAGCCCCAGAGCGTGCGCTTGTCCAAGACCCCGTCCCCACCCCAGAGTCTCTTGGAGCCCTGCCGGCGAAGACGGTGGTCTCCAGTGCCTGCACAGACGCGCAGCAAGCCAATACCAAAGTGGCCGAGCTTTTGGGGGAAGAGGCCGGGCTTTGTGGGCCAGCCCTCATTGGTTGCAACGCATTAATTGATCATTTGGTTTGCTGGGACGGTGCTGCTTCTTTGCACTGTCAGAACCTTGTAGTTCTTCCATTCCTGCAGGTCGACATCACCAGGGACCGCCAGCTAGAGGTGGCCGCCAGTCTCAAGCGGAAGAAGGGTGCCAAGAATGATGGGGATGGTGCTGAAAATGGCGATGAAAAGTCAGAGACTGACGCAGAGAAGGAAACCCCTCCCAGCAAGAAACCCCGAGCGGCCACAAAAGCAAAAGCAAAAGCAAAAGCAAAAGCAAAAGCAAAAGCAAAAGCCAAGGCAAAATCAGCAACCGCAAAGGCAGAGACGAAGGCAGCGGCAAAAGCAAAAGCAAAGGCGCGCGCGCAGAAGGATGAACAAGTGCCAGCTGAGGAGAAACCCAAGGGCAGGAAGTCACAAGACAAAGAAGAAGACAAATCAATGAAAAACAGCGACCTCAATACCGAGCAGCAGGAGGAGCCGGCCTCAGCATCCAAGCCTGCCCCCAAGAAAGGCTCCAAGCGAAAGGCGCCTGCTGCCAAGACTAAGCCCGAATCCCCCGGAGGAGAGGACCACAAGCAACCCAATGAGGAGTCCACCCGCACGCCAAAGCCAAAGAACACCAGCCAGAACAAAGGAACCGATGAGGAGAAAGAAACCCCGCCCCCCCCGCCTGCAGCGAAGCAGACTTTTGCCAGGCGCAGGGCGCCTGCCTCCGATCCGCAAAGGAGCTTTCACCTGGCCGTGCGTGGCGCCTTTGAGTGCGTGATCCAGCCACGCGTGAGGCGCCCAAGTTCACTGGAGGACCTGATCCCACAACTGATCAATTTGAATCGAATGCCACGCTTGTTTTGGTTTTGACAATTGGGTTTTTCAGGATCCCTTTTGGAAGTTCTGCTTGAAAGAGCTCTCTCCAGAGAATATGTCGATCGACCAGTACACGGATCATGCTATGAAATGGGCTGACAAGTTTCTCAAAACCTCGCCGGTCGCCAAGGAGTGTGGCTTGTTAGCATCAAAGCGCAATTTCAATGGCACTTGCAAACCTATGGCAAGTGTGACAATGTACTGCTGAGGCTTGTCCGGGTTGCATTACCATGGTGGCCAAGATGATCACTGACCGATTTCTTGAACCAGTAGGGCCGAGCATGTCAGCCTTGCATTAGGGTGCTGGGATTTGCGCAGCTAGCAGTCCAAATCTTTGGGAGAGAACTGGCTGGCATCAAAAAGACTGGAAACAGTTTGAAAGCTTTTGGCTGAGTAAGCAATAGGAAATTGAACCCCTTCCTTGTTTGATTTCGCTTGGTCAGCTTGTTCCATTAACCTGGGCCTTGCATTTCCTCGAAAGGCCTGGGCTTGGGGTGCGAGGCTGCCGTTTCCTTTAGACTTGCAAGGCGGTGCGGTGGGCAAAAAAACATTATGCTCCAGATTTGCTTTGACTCGGGTCAGGGGCCCTGTACATCAGGCAGCCCCTCAGCACTGCCCGGCAGGTACATGCCTCCTCTCGCCGCCTATGCGCGCTTTGGCCTGGCGCGTGGAGAAGGCACGGGCCAGCTTTGGGGGAATTTTTCAATTGGCACGAGCTTCAGCATGGAAAGAGAAATGGCAGTTGCCTATCTGAAAGCAAATCGGCCCAAAGTTTTGTCCCTAGCTGCCATGAAGCCTCATGAAGTGGAGTGCACGATTCGGCGATTGATTGCCATGAAAGCGCCGAAAGCCCTTTGGATTGCAAGAACCTTGCCTTTGCCCCCCCCCCCGGCTTGGACGGGCGGTCTGATTGTCTGAGGCATTTGTGTTCTTGGTCTTGCTGGTATCTTGGCTTTGCCTGGGCAGCCAGGACCCTGCCGAGTACCAGGTGCTAGAAATGTTTGCAGGGTGTGCCAGAGTGTCACGACTGGCCACAGCTTGCAGTTTAAGGGCCGTTGCTCACGATATACTGTTTGACGATGAGCGGCATCACCATGGAAAAAGCTGTATGAACATCAACGAGGATGCTGGCTTTTTGTTTCTGGGCTGTATTGATTTAACGAACGGCAGGGCCCCTGTCATCAATTCAAGAGTCTGATGCTAAGGCTATTGGTGCGTTCGATCCTGCAGTGCTCCTATGGCAACTTCATAGCGGTGATTGGGATTTGCTGTTCTAGCTTTACAGTGGTAAGCCGTCACTCTTCTGGGCGAGATTACATCTTGCCGGATGGCAACCCCTTCTTTGACAATGTTGTGGCTGCCAACTGCATGCTGGCAAGGCCAGACCATTGTCAAGCAATGTTTGGTGGAAAGCGCAACGACCCTTCATTTTGCGTTTGGCCCTGGACAGGTGCAGTCTCTTGGTATTGCTCATATCGGCGGCCCGAGGTTGCCCAATAGTTGAAAATCCGGCAAATTCTATCATCAATTATGCCAGTCGGTTTCGTTGGCTGGTCATGAAGCTGCGAAGCAACCGGATGTTTGCCTCCTGGCCTAGCATGTGCGCTTCTCAATTTTCCCCCGTTTGGACACATGCTGTGAGAACCCTTTGTGATTTTGGGGCCTAGAAACAAACAATGGGAACCCTTTGCATCAATGCTCCTCCCAGAATTGCAAGCGGAATTTGCATTGCCCTCATGTTTGGTTTCAATGAATTGTGGTTTTCTCAACAATTTTGCACGGGGGAATTTGCATCGCCCTGATTTCAGGTTGCAAGGGAACATGAACATGAAAAGGTCCCACCCAATGGTCTTGACAACTTGGGAGAAAACAGCATCGCCCTGATTTCTGGCCTGAAGGCAACGCTATGGCCCACCACAAGTTGGCAAGGGGCTTTTTTTGGGTCTTCTTGAAATGCGCGTGGAGATGGCTCATTCTATGGTCTGCCGGGGGGGATTTGCATCGCCCCGATGCCTAGGTTCAAGGGAACTTGGTAATTTTCACAACTTTGCAATGCAGGATTCGTACCTCCTTGACTTTAGGTTTTAAAGGGTGTGAAAATGGCTCAACCTTTGGTCTTGACGATTCCGCAAAAGGGGATTTTGTATCAACATCAGTTACGTTTTCAAGGGAACAGGGACATCGCTTCTCCTACGGTCTGGGTAACTTTGCTGGATTCGGGGGGCAACGCAAAGATGCTCAATTTGGGCCAGCTGGGGACTTTGCACTTCCTGCACTTCCTGGCTTCGAGGGGACCCATAGACGTCTGATTTCAAGAGGACACGAATGGCTTACCATATTGTCTCGGCAACTTCCCAGGGCGGAATTTGCATCCTTGATTTTGGTTTTCCAGCAAATTGGACATGATCCACCCTTTGGTCTTGACAACTTGGGGGGGAATTCGCATCCCGGGTTTCCATCAAAGTTTGACAGGGTCCATCCTACGGTCTTAGCACTTTGCCCAAGGGGACTTTGCATCACCCTGAGTTTAATTTCCTGGGAACGTGGAGCCTGCTTACACTTGTTTTGCGCCCCTCCGGCTAAGTTGTTCCGCACTGCTTTCTGGATGAAGTCTTACCAAAGCAGAACCAGCAAGCGGACACGATTGTGGAGCACATCGTGGAGAATTGCGTTGTTCAACAGGGGATCCCTTGCAAGACACCGGCTCAAGAGTTCAACATCTACAGCAACCACCCAGCTTGACCGTCAAGGAGTTCGTAGGTTCACTGGAAAAAAGAAGGAGTTGAAGGCTACACAGAGGCTTGGCTGGCTATTACTTGTCATTTCTGGTGTCATGGCCAAGCAGCCAGCCATTCAACACCTTTTGACTTGGCTCAAACCCAAGGCAGTACACGCCAGCTTTTGCAGCCGCGATACTTCGGCACCGGAGGGCCTTGATTGAAACAACCCCAACAGGGCCGGAAGTTGCCTGGCCGCACTCGCGGGAGATGACAATGGGCCTCGGCGGGCGGCAAGAGCAAGCCTAATCTCCAACACAAATAATGCCTGGGTCCTATTTGCGCCGGATGCCCCAAAACCTTTTGCTTTAAAT